CAACAGTCTGTTGCACTCTGCATTGCATTGATTTGTGCAATAGGCAATGTGCACAAGTCTGTATGCAGTCCATCCAGCCTCTCTCTCCAGAAAAAAGAGGAGGTAGATCTAGAAGGATCTCCATGGCCGCTGACGGTGTGGTACTGATGGCACCACTGATAGCCAGACAAGCCTGTCTCTGTAAGCCAGAGAGCTTCGCTTGGACCGTTTTCTGTGAAGCCTTCGGCCATCAGGCAATTGCACCATAAGTGATCATTGGTCTGAAATCATCACATGAATCCAAAGGATTTGTTTGGGACCTAAACCCCAAGTTTTACCACAAATCTTTCGACATGTCCATAGAGACAGTCTGGCTTTGTGTAAAACTTTTTTCAAGTGAGCGTTCCAGGTGAGTTTTTTATCAAGGACAATGCCAAGATATTTCACCTTCGTTCCAAATGTGATGTCCAACGTTCTGTGGAGGATATTACAAGCTGCCCTTCCCGACGTGGACCTTGCCAGGATGACAAGGTCATCTGCATACGCTTGCAGATCAACTTTTCTTCTGTCGAGGGCATAAAGCAGACTATCCATCAGGAGCGACCACAGCACGGGAGATAGTACCCCACCTTGAGGGGAGCCCCTGGTGCCCCTGAACCTAATGGCCTCGCCTTGAAGTTGTAGTCTGTAGTTCTGTTTACTAGCATGGCATAGATCTAGCCAATTATAGTCGATTCTGTACCTCTTCTAGCCAGGAGGCTAGGAGGGTTATAGATTTAGGTTGTGCATTGTCAAATGCTCCTTCAATATCAAGAAATACAGCAACCGCAATCTTCTTGTTGTCAAGGAATTGGGAGATCTTCTGAACGAGGCTGTTTAATGCTAAATCTGTCAATTTGCCGGTTTGATAAGCATACTGGTGGTTATTTAGGGGGATGCATATAATGCTACCCTCCTGATGTGTCCGTCAAGTATCCTCTCAAGTCCTTTCAACAGAAAGGATGCAAGGCTGATTGGTGGTACCGATTTAGGGTGTGAGTCTTTCCGACCTACATTAGGTATATATACCATCTTTGCTGCCAACCAACTGGGTGGTATATAGTTCCATGCCAGACTAGCTTTATACAATTTTATGTGAATAGGTAAATTTATTTCCAGTCCGTTTTGAAGAAGAGCTGGAATTATACCATCCTCTGCGGTATCAATTGAAAAAATCTAGTTGAATTTGATAAATCTCATGTTTTCCTATTACACACGAATTCGTTTTCAACATGTTCTTACTTCATATTTGATTGCATTTCATTGTTATTTTTTTGAAGATGTGTTAATATTATATTTCTGTTATTTTATTATACTTCGTAGTTAGTCATAGTCCCTTATTATAAGCGATTATTGTGTTTTGGGATAATATACTGAATTGAATTGAATTGAATATTTGGGTATGCGAAAGCTCTGTTCACCATAACATCTGGTCAAGCAAGAGTCCAAACAGGGTGGGTCACTTTCAGAAGAGGTGTATTTCATGGTGATTCTCTCAGTCCCCTTCTTTTCTGCATCCCCCTATTGCCATTATCCGTTGCGCTTAGAAATACTGGAGGGTATAACTGTGGCACCCCCGGAAACCGGAGGCACAAGGTCACCCATCTGTTTTATATGAATGATCTTAAACTT